CTGAATATGTTTTATGCATTTATATACCATGAAAACCAAAGTCCATCATGGAGTTGGAGACTGATAATCAGTTATGTCCTCTTTCACAACCAACGGTCATTACCTTCTTTAAATCCTTCCCCGTCTTAATATTTAACCTTTATTATTCTCTTTTTATATGACATACCTACTGTAAATACATTTTAACAATAGACAGCATTTCATGATCCCTAGCTAGCTCACAGATGAATGAGAGAGAGAATTTAAGGTTTGCTTGATAAGCTTTACAATACAATAACTGGGTGGTTAATCTATTCGAATCTTCTAAAAGAATCTGGCTACCTCCCTGCCCACATCCTTGAGATACTTGCATTTTAGTATTGTTGTTGCTTTCTGGGTGGGATTTAGGTGTTTTTTCATGATGTCTCTTTTGGACTGCTTCCTCATGGCCCATCTGCTCTTCCTCCTTTCTCTCTCTTTCCCTTGGCTAACAGAAGTCCAGCCCTATTTCTTCCTTTGTCCAGACATTGACAGATCAACAGCTTTATTCACAAGTCAGATAATCAGTGGGGAGCAATTCTTACACAAACTTGAGAGAGGAGATACTTAAAACAAGCACTACAATGCCATGTCTGGATGGCAACCATATAAGGGGGCAGAGAACTCAGCATTTGAATAATACAAGCATGTTCTTTACACAGTGCATAAAAACATGCGTACAACATACCGTACCTGCATGCAAATTTCTTCATAGATATAAACATAATACTGTCTAGATTAAAAACCTAGAGGAAGAACATGCAGTGTTTACCTTTATAAGACTAATCTCAATATCACACATACTATGTCTATCTATTTTTCTGCAAATTTTGTGACTACAGTTTCTTAAAGCTAAATAGCATCTGTCTCTCTGTGCCTCCCTCACTCCTTCCCTCTCCCTCTCCCTCTCTCTGTGTAAGAAACTGTGCCCTTCCCCCAGCCTTGAGCAGGTCTAAGAGATGAGACCTTGTTTACCACAATAGACCAAACAATAGGACTCTGGCCATAGGCATTTCCTGCCCTTGGCGAGGAGGCAGTGCTTGCCTTGGCGCCTTTCTCTCTGCCTGTAGCCTGGTACACAAGCTGAGAAGAATAGACTGCCTGCTGAGCTTGCTTTGAGACATCTCTGGCCCGGCAATTACCTATGGATTCCTCTCAGATCTAGCAGGATGGTTTCTGCTCACCCCCAGTGCTCGCCCCCAGCTGGATGAAGCCAGAAGGAACTCTGGGGGTGGGGGTGGGTTACCCCCTTTAAATTGAAAGCTGAACATTAAAGCATTGAGCCTCGATCAGAAACCTTTGTCCTGGCTTCATCTCTTCCCGCCCTCCTGTCCCTTCCCAGCCTCTCTTTCAGGTGAACCCGGTCGTCTGTAGCTGCTGGGGGCAACAAGAAACATTTATGTTTACCGAGTCATTTTCCATTAATAAGTTCATAGATGCGTATATTGATACAATTTTTACTATTGGGAATAAAGGATCAATAAACATGAGGGCACAAATACCTCTCCATACAGTGAATGATGAGGTTCTCTGAGCCTAAGCCCAGGATTGAATGAATAGGAACAGTGCAGAGACTATCACCCTGGTTCCAATAGGATGAGGTCGTTATGAGTGTGAAGTATTGATCTGTAAGGTTCCAGTGTTCACTGCAGCACCCATAGTCTATGGTGTTGTAGTCTCAGAGGCTACTTTGGGTCTGTGGTCCACAGCCTGAAGATCGTAGTCTCCATTGCATCTGAAGTTTAGTACCCGCCTCCAGCAGGTTCACGGGATCTAAGAAACGTGCAAGGATCTGACTCCATGCGATCACCTGGCTGCTTTGTGAGCAGCCCCCACCTACACTGATTTCTGAGGGCTCTGGAAGGAAATCCTAGTTGCAAGTTACTCTCCTTGAGGGTGCATACCACTTTAAAATGTTTGTACTCTGCCCACT